ATCGTAAAATTATTTAAAAAATAAGAAATCTCAGAGACGATGAAAAAATATATTTAAATTTTTATTTTCGGTGCTACACGTGTTTTTTTAAATATTATTCAGCACTAGATTGTGGTATATTTTTATTTAACAAAAAGTAGAACTAACACTGACCTAAAATTACAAACATTCGGGTTTAGCCGTGAGTATATGAAATTCAATGTATGAAAATTAAGTTATGTTGGTTATAATTTTCATCCAAAACATTTTCCCGGCACTTTCAATTACCGAGTTATAATAAAAGTTTTTAGCCAAAAACGTCAATTGAGAGATTTGCAGAGTTTATAACAAAAAATGAAAAATACTCGGAAAGAAATTGTTAATACATTCTATTCAAATTTGAATTGTATATTTAAATATTCTAAAAAAAAGGACTTAATAAAACAGTAATCCAAATTGAGTCTGATTGAAGTGGTATATTTTAAAACCGAAAACGAATATTGATTCCCGCAGGTATATTGTTTTAATTTAAATTTATTTGCGGTGACACAAAAAGCTTTTCAAAAACAATAAAGGACTTGAAGTACTCTCGGTTTGGGTCAAAGGGAATACACAATCAAGCTTACATTTAATTACTATGTGATATATTTTAATTATTATTCAGCGAATATTTTCCTTTTTAATATATTAATTGAAATTTAATCCTCATAAAATTTCACGAAGATAATTTATACATTCACTTAATCGAAGGTTATTTTCATTTTCACTTATTTCTATCGTTAAATAATTAAAATATAAAGGTCACAAAGAACACAAAAGGTTTATAATATAATAATATAACATTCTAATTATTTTAATTATAACAATCATATTTATCGAATAATAAAAATATTTCTTATTCAAAAACATTACGGTTCGTTGACCTTTAAGATTTCGTGTCACTCAAAAAGCGATTAAAAAATTTACATATTTAGCGAGTCTTAACGAATTCCCGTTCGCATCGCGATAAAGTCGATTTTAAAAAAGAATGGTTCACGGCGTCATCCTTCGTTTACGGTTTTAACTCAAAAGAAAAAAGAAATCCGAAACCAGTTCCTCTCACATATATTTAAGTAGTTGTTGTTCTGCCGCATTGTGGTCATATCAAAAATGGAGTGCGGTTGTGAAACAAGTTACCTGGGTCCAGCTTTAACAGAAACCTGCGGAGCTGGATCTTTTGTGCTCTTCATGAGTCTTTTGGATTCGTTTATATCGAGAAAATGTGATATCTCCGAAGTGTGCGATAGAGTTTCCCCAACGATTACACCGTTTTTCGAGTATGATTTTATCGTAATCGGTGCCGGAAGTAGTGGAGCCACGGTAGCTGGACGATTAGCGGAAACATCTCATTGGAGAGTTCTTCTTTTAGAAGCGGGGGGTGATGAACCACCCGGTTCGCAAATTCCTGCAATGGTTATTAATTATCATGGAAATCCGTATATGGATTGGAATTATAAAACGGAACCCGAAAATTATGCGTGTTTGGATTATCCCGAAAGAAGGTGTCATTGGCCCAGGGGAAAAGTTCTTGGGGGTTGTAGCGTTATCAACGGGATGATGTACATGAGAGGAGTACCAAGGGATTACGATAATTGGGCTTTAAGTGGAAATCTCGGATGGAGTTATAATGAAGTTTTACCGTTTTTTAAGGTTTCTGAGAATAACGAAGAAATTGGAACGATTGCTGATGAAGGTTATCATGGTGTGGGAGGGCCCATGAATGTTAAAACGTTTAATGATCGCCCAGGTTTAGCCGATGATCTTTTATTAGCTGCTAAAGAAGCTGGATATCCTGTCACTTTAGATATGAATGGAGCATATCATACTGGATTTACCGTTGCACAAACAAGCACTAAGTAATTATAATTTTTTAAGTAATTTTATATAATTACATCGTTTATTCCACTTATTTCTTCAAGGTAACTAAGATTATGCAACAAAAAATCTCGAGATGTTTCTATTATAATTTAATTTTTTGTTTGCAATTTATGTTCCAAAAATAAGTTTATTCATGTCATCTTCTATATTTTTACCTTCTACGTAACTTTTTTCGAGATCGTAAAATTTATGTTCTAAGCTGAATTTTAAGGTTATTGAGATACGTGCATCTTACGAGGTAACACAGACGCATAACCCTGGAAAAACTCGGCGCTTTTGTTGTTCCCGTACATAGTATACAGCTAGTATTTTTATGGTTAACGGAAATCATTTACCATTTACGACGAGGTGAAGATACAACCTCTCTCTTTTGTTGTATTTAGATTTCCTTTTGATTACAAACGTATTTTTTACGTAATTTACGAAGAAAATTTCGCTAAAATTTAAATAAAGAAATTTGAGTAAGACGTGACTTGAAATAAATGTTTGTGTTGAAATAATTTCTTTGGTTTTAATTTATATTTCTTTTTTTTTTTTTAGAAACGGCGTAAGAGTTAGCAGCGCAAAAGCTTTCGTTCGTCCTCAACGTAACAATCCAAATTTCCATGTCATGTTGAATTCAACAGTAACTAAAATTCAAATTGGTAATAAAAATGGAAAGAAGACAGCGACTGCCGTTGAATTCCTCTACAAAAATAAAAAATACGTTGTTAAAGCTAGAAAAGAGATTATTGTAAGTGGAGGCGCCGTGAATTCACCACACCTCTTATTATTATCAGGAATTGGACCAAAAGATGTTCTCGATAAAGTGGGGATTAAACAAGTTCATAATTTACCTGGTGTTGGAAAAAATTTACATAATCACGTGACGTTTTATTTAACATACGCGTTAAATAAAGTTAAAGATACCGCAGATTTAGATTGGGCTAAAGCGTTAGATTACATTTTATATCAAAATGGGCCGTTATCTTCAACGGGGTTGTCTCAATTAACAGGAAGATTAAACACAAAATACGAAACAAACACCGATTATCCCGATTTACAAATTTTCTTTTCTGGTTATTTAGCGAATTGTGCTCAATCAGGGGCTGTTAATGCTTACTCAGATCCAAATAATCCAAACGCACCAAAACATATTCAAGCATCCCCAGTTAATTTACACGCAAAAAGTCGCGGTTATATAAGTTTAAAATCGAAAAATCCCACAGAGTATCCTCTCATTTATGCAAATTATTTAAGCGAACCTGACGATTTAGATGTTTTAGTCGAAGGAATTAGAGTTATTCAAAATTTAACACGTACAAAACTTCTTACACAAAAATACGGAATTGAATATGTTAAAGAAGATTATGGAAATTGTTCAAAACTTTATCAATTCGACACCGATGATTATTGGAAGTGCGCTATTCGTTACGCAACGGGACCAGAAAATCATCAAGCGGGTTCTTGTAAAATGGGTCCATCATCTGACCAATTAGCCGTCGTTAATAACGAATTAGAAGTACACGGCATTTCAGGTTTAAGAGTTATCGATGCATCTATTATGCCCGTTGTAATATCGGGAAATACCCACGCTACATGCGTCATGATTGCCGAGAAAGGAGTCGATTACATTAAAAAGAAGTGGTTATCTAATTCTAATAATACAAATAATTATCAACAAACGGCTCAATCGACTCAAAGCGATTCTAATATTGAGCAACACAATAACAAAAATTCTAATTATTCTAATAGACCACCTGGTTATTATCATTACGATCACGGTAAAGCTTATGAAAATCATGTGAATAAACATCAAAGTTCCGGTTATAAACATAATCAGTATGAAAGAAGAAGTTTTCAAGATGATGGGCAATATAGACCGGAACATCACGGCGAAGGATATTATTATTAAGATGTATTATATTAATGCGAAATTTGATTTAATAAAAGTTTGTAATTTACTTAACCAATTACATCAAATTAAAATAAAGAAAAAATGTTAAATTTAAAAAAAATCGCCCTTCTCATCTTTTGTCATAGTCATGGCTCTAGATATCTTTGGAAATTTTTATGTTTTCAAGTGCCCAGATTACGAATATATTCATGAAAGTACTGAATGTACTCTTTTTTTTATGATTTTAACATATCTTATATTTTGAACAATTATCGGCTTGTTAGTAATAAAATTTATTTTCCCCAGTCATGATTAGGCTTCTGCGCAACTTTTTCGCGCATACAAACATCACGTGATCCCCACTCTCAAACCCCTTGCTCCGCAGAACAGCTGAGATCTCAGTTATTTGACAATATTGAAGTACAATTGAAGTACTTACACGTGATTCTCGATAAGTTGTCATGTGTTAAAATTTTGCTTCAATTACTGAATGTCCATTCTAATACAGTGAAAGCTCTCCTTGCGGACAGCTCTAATAAGCGGACATCTCTTATAAGCGGACAAAAATTTTGGAACCAACCCCAAACCTATATTTTCATGTACATATTTATTTCCCATAAACGGACGCTCTAATAAACGGACGCGGACACTATTTTTCTTTACATAACGGGCAAAAATTTCTAATAAACGGACGCGTAGGTAACTAAACGCACACATCAAAGTAATCTGNTTGTCATAATCATGGCTCTGGATATCTTTGGAAATTTTTATGTTTTCAAGTGCCCAGATTACGAATATATTCATGAAAGTACTGAATGTACTCTTCTTTTTATGATTTTAACATATCTTTTATTTTGAACAATTATCGGCTTGTAATAAAATGTATTTTCCCCAGTCATGATTAGGCTTCTGCGCAACTTTTTCGCGCATACAAACATCACGTGATCCCCACTCTCAGTCCCCTTGCTCCGCAGAACAGCTGAGATCTCAGTTATTTGACTTGAATATTGAAGTACTTACACGTGAATCTGGATAAGTTGTCATGTGTTAAAATTTTTCTTCAATTACTGAATGTCCATTCTAATATATTTGTCTTATCTTTTAAAACATGAGTTTATTGGCTCCAACAGTAACAATTACAAGAACGTGAGAAAGTGAGTTATTACAATTTTTTAGTGAAAATGAAGGACTGGTGTACTGTAATCAGGGCCGGCGCGAGGCTTTTTTACAATATACAGCACAGAATACAGAATCATTTTCTATGTAGTCCAATTTAATGAACTAATAGCATAAATAAATAGGTAAAATATGAATAGGAAAGGAAATTTAAAAACTTTATAAAGAATAACATTGTCTAATATTTTATTAATACTAAAACACAATCGTATCGTTACTTCCAACAATATTAACATTTACGTCATAACATTGTAGATGCCGCACATTTCCCTTTGAAGGCAGGTCACAATATTAAAATGCTACTGCAAATAATGAAATTAATTCACAGAGGTCCAGATTGTAAGCCAGTTCTTGCTCTATTGATATTGTCGCTAATCCAACTAATCTTTCTTCAGTCATCGTTAAGCGCAAGTACGTTTTAATTAATTTCAATCTAGAAAAACTGCGCTCTCCACTTGCTACAGAAACAGGGAGAGTTAATAAAATCCTTAACGCGACGTAAATATTAGGAACGCTATTCTGGAGATCATGCCTTAAAATGAAAAGAAGAACTTCAGATGGGCCCATTACTTTTGGAAGTCTTCGAGACACACTTTGAAGTTCCCAGCATAAGTCTTCTCCATAAATGTCTTTACAGGAATTATGCGTTAAGGCACTTTCAAACTTTTTGCATTGCATAAGAATATCAGCTTCGTTTTTATCTTTTAAGTTAAAAATATCGTAAAGAAACCCAAATAAAGCACAATACTCTTGCATTTGATTAAATCTTTCCTGTATTGCATTTACTGCATTATCTATAATCATATAATAGAATGATATTTTATAGTTTTGTTTGGGATCTTGTATTGATACACCTTCGGCTTCATAATCAAACTGTTTTTTAATTTTCCTTCGCCTACTAGGTGCATTAGGAAAATTTGCATCAATATCGAGTTCGTTTGCCAGAAGTGTAGCATCTGATAAATTCTTTTCGAAGTTTTCATCTGATCGACAACTTACAAGATAATTCTTTGTAACTTCCAGCTGTTTCGTACATACAAATATGTCTGCATTCTTATTTTGCAGTAATTTGCTTGTAATGTTGATTTCGAAAAGAATATTGTACCACGTAATAAATGACACTAGAAATTTAAATGTACTTATACCATCTACAATTCCTTTTGCTTCCACGCGCATGATGTTTCCACTGTAACCTGCTGGATTTGGGTCATTATAAATATCCATAAGGGCGTCATATATTTTCGAAATTTGAAATCGCAGCGGCTTCAACGCATCGATACGGCTTCCCCAATGTGTATCACTCAGGGGTTTAATAGTTAAATTTGCTGCATGTTTTTGAAGAATGTGCCAACGTTTTGTAGAACCAGCGAAAAAAGTATAAATTTTTTGTACAATGTTAAAAAAACTTGTAGCCTCTAGGGAACAGCTCACAGCATCATTCACCACTAAATTCAAGGAATGGGCATTACATGGAACAAAGAATGCGCGTGGGTTTTTTTTTTGAACTCCATTTATTTTCCCTTCATGTTGCTTCCGTTATCGTATCCTTGCCCTCGTAAGTTATCAATTTGTAATCTCATTTGTTCCAGTTCATCCACGATTGTTTTTGATATGAAAGCACCTGTTGTTTCTTGTAGTGGCACAAACCCAAGAAAATGCTCCCGTATGACCACGTCAGGTTGTTGTGTTTCTTCATCCATTACATCAACAAATCTTATTATAATTGTCATTTGTTCCGTATGACTGATGTCAGGAGTACAATCCAATATGATTGAATAATATTTGGCTAATTTAGCACTATTCAAAATTTTTGCTCTTATAGCTCGTGATAGCAGTTGTATAAGTTCATTCTGAATATCCTTGCCGAGATAATGAACAAATAATTTAGCATCTTTAACTTTTTGCAAATGTTCATTCATGACTGGATCGAATAATGCAAGATATTCAATAAATTTTAAATAGTTGCCGTTATTATGGTCATATAATTTATCCTTTGAACCGCGAAAGGCCAAGTTTTGTCCACCCAGAGTTCTCACCAAGGCTATTAAACGATGTAAAATTTGTTTCCAATAGCTCTCCTGTTGTTTAATTTTCTTTTGGTGCATGGCGTCAATGATTTTATTTTCACGTAGGCGAACTTCTAATTCTCGCCAAACTTGACAATTGTCAATGTGATTTACATTGCGCTCATGGGAAGAGAGGATGGTGCTCATGTTTTTCCAGTCGTTACTTCCTTCTCGGCACAGTGAGGTATATGCAGATTTTTGTTTTTTCTTGAATAACTTGCAGCAAAAACATACAACTGTGTTATTTGATGGAGAATAAACTAACCATTTCCTTGGTATTTTTTCTCCATTACACATTTGTCTATTGAAGTGAACCGTGGTAAACCTACGGTTGTTTTTATCTTTGGGAAACTGACTTGGAATATTTTGTTGAGGGCCGCGTGAGACAATCATTTGTCGCAAATGATCATTTATAGAATCAGGCCAGGTACCAGGATCGTCATAATCAATGGAAACGTATGCCGATGTATTTGATGTTCCTTCATCCTTTAAATTTTCACCGTGTACTGCTTCTGTTCCCTGCTCCGTAGTAGAAGTACTGCATTCACTTGTCTCTGTTAGAATATCCGTATTTTCTTTATCTTCTCTTTGAAGAAAAACAAGGAGAGATCTTTTTAATTTGGCACTTTCTTTCTCTTTTTCCGCTTTCCGTTTTCGGTTTTGCGACCCAGAAGGTCGCTTAGGCTTACTAGCATCAGCCATGACAGTTCTATTGAAAGAATACTTTGATTATTCTTGAAAAGCGAACATCACCTATTGCAAGTGGTATTCATAGAACACTTTTGGAGGAAGACATCGATAGGTTTTTAACAGAACGCAGAACACCGTAAACGACATTGAGAAAAATTTACAAGAATCGATTTTTTAACTGCTTTATCTTACAGCATGTTTTTTTTGTGGGCAAGAGGTTTAATGAGTTTTCATTGAAATAAGACAGTTATTGTGGCGCCTTTTTATTGACAGTTGTAAAAGAAGTTTTGTGTTAAGGGTTTTTTGGGTTGTCGCCTTTTCGGCACTAAACAACTTTTTCCTTAACTTAAATTCTTTATTTAAAACCAAATTATACAATACGGTGATTACTTAATTAAGTTTACAATTCGTCGATGTGATTAGAAGTAGCAGAATAATAATAATAATAATAGTCTGTCTAGCACAGTTTTGTACTTTTTAATATAAAAATCCCTTCCTAGCTTTTGCAACTTGGTGATCCGACAATTTGACCAATGAAACGACGTTTGGAATTAGATTTCTAGAAATGCATTTCAAGTACGTATGCATAAACGTAAGCTTAATTCGAAACAAAGAAAACCTGTAACTTGATACTTGTTGTTGCAAAAATTACGAAGTAATGATAACAACAATAACAAATTTAGAATTAAATCTATTACATAATTAATAAAAAATAAAAATATAAATCGATACAATCAAAAATAATTGGTGGATTACAACATTTAAATGCGTCTTACTGTACAATGGAAATAAATTTGCATCAATTCCAATAATTGTCCCTTCAACAAAACTCAAAGAAGAATATGAAAATGTAAAATTAGTTTTAGAAAAAATTAATTACTCGGAGCATCAATGGCCGATCTGTGTGGATTTGAAAATGGTTAATTTTTTACTTGGTCAACAAAGTGGATACACGAAATACCCTTGCTTCATTTGTATGTGGAACAGTAGAGCAAAGTAACTTCATAGGGAACAAGATGTTTAGGCTGTAAGAAATTCTTTAACTGTCGGTAAAGCCAATGTAATAAGGAAGCCGTTGGTGAGCAGAGGCAAAATCATACTTCCACCATTACATATTAAGTTAGGAATGATAAAGCAATTTGTAAAAGCGTTGGACAAGGAAGGAGATTGTTTTAATTACATTTGTAGAAAATTTCTGAAGCTTGAAAGTTGATGCTCCTCAAATACGGCAATTGATGAAAGACACAGATTTTATTAAAGTTATTACTGTTCAGGAAAGTAAAGCTGTTAAAAGTTTTGTGTTGGTAGTCAAAAATTTCCTAAGTAACAATAAAGCACTAAATAATGAAGAAATTGTATAAAATATGCTGACAAACTTTCAAACTCTAGGAGCAAATATGTTACATTATCTCCGCAATCATTTGGATAATTTAGGAAATTATAGTGAGGAACAGGGAGAGCGGATCCACCAGGAACTAAAAGTGATGGAGGAAAGGTATCAGAGTCGATGGGATTGTCGTATGATGGCAGATTACTACTATTTTTTGGAAAGTAAGACGTTCATTAATTAAACGAGTGAGATGTTGCATTGACATGGATGGTGGAATTTTTGAACAATTCTTATAACGTTTTTTGGTGTTATTTGTTAAAAATTTAAGTGCTTTTTGTTAATTGTTTAAGTTAAACTTTTTATTTTTGTTAAATTGTTAATACGTTTTGTTTAGATTGTTTTTTTAAGGTTTTGGTAAAATTTTAAGTTATTATGAAAAATTAGTAATCATCTTTTGAATCATTTTGATAAAATTAACCATGATTGGAAAAAAATTTTNTGAGTTGAGGGAGGAGGAGTTGGAACGAGGGCAGATCTTAGGAGAGGGGAAACGGTGGATGAGCGGAGCGGGAGGATTGGGCCGAGGAGCCGAGGGTATGGAAATGGAGGAAAAGGGTAGAGGGTGAAAATAATATACTGATGATATACTATGTTAGAATGTATTAAGGGGAAAATTGTAATAATCAAAAACAATAAAATGCTTACATATAGTGAGGAACAGGGAGAGCGCTTCCACCAGGATCTAAAAGTGATGGAGGAAAGGTATCAGGGTCGATGAGTTTGTCGCATGATGGCAGATTACTGCTGGTCTTTAAAAAGAGATTGTCCCTTGTAAAATTATAAAAGAAAAGCCCATAAAAGATGGTTTATGGAAATATATAATGTATTTACTTAGATGTATCCTAATTTTTCAAAACAAAACTGACATAAATATATCTGTTATTTTGTTTCTTGTTTTCTGATTTTTGTAATGTAAAATGAAAATAAAGATTTAAAAAAAACGGAAGCAAATCTTACAAAATCAGTGATAATTTCATGAATTGTGAGCATAAATATATCCAAAATCAATCTTATATCTAGGGCAACAAAACCACTGTAGACCAGTGTAAGAGATCAGACCAGCTTAATAACAACATAACGAAAGATACATGCTATTACTATCCACCAGCATATCATCGATACCAATGTGACCAAGATTAACTCTGCTTAGATCGACAAGAGCTTATTAACTCCTTAAAACGTAGATTTCCCACAAAGCCGAGTTATGGTTCAGAATCCACGATTTTACAGAAGCAGCAATAACTGAGCTATGCTTGCTAAGCAAACATTAATAGCTACCATCCAAAATCCCATATAATTGGAAACTTCATAAATTTCATCAATCAAGTGCGTAATGTTTGTTGAGACAAAATGTAAGGGTGCAATCAAGTTCAAGAACTGGACTACCTAATCATCCCACCACTCCTTTCATCTCCCACGTAAATTAGCACGAAACTAGATTCCGGAAGCAAAGACTTTTCCTGGCAGAAAGACTATGGTCGATAGTCCTTTTAGGCCAACTTTTTTTATATATACTTTTATTATTTTTGGTAATACGTAGTGCTTCGCGGATGGAGAAGTATGTGTTGTTGTGGTCGATCCGAGCTCTCATCCGTTCTTCCTGTTGGTTCCCTTTGGAAATTTGTTTCGCCAAGATCTCACCTGACATCTTCAGTGCGTTCGTCTTCTGTCGACAGACTTTTATTATTTTTCTTTTCTGTTGTAATTATTATTTGTTGGCGTGAATAAAATTTTGTTTTCTCTCTCTCGCCCATCTCATATTTATGAAAGTTAAGAAATAATTCTTGTATCAAAATGAAGCTCAAATCTTCTTCTTTCAGAAAATATAAAAGTTGTTGTAGAATTACAATATAGAACATTAGAAGAATAACATTATAGAATTTTTCATCATGTTCTTTTAAAATGTTCTGTATTTCACAAAATATTTATATCAAGTATTAAAATGATTTAAATTAAAATAAATTTAATTTAAATTTGTAAAAGGATATTTAAGATTATTTCAAAAAATTCCGCTTTTGATCTTTACCATCTCCATTAAAAGCTTACATTTTAAGATTATACGGTCTCGGAACATGAAT